AGGTCCTCACAGCATGAAATAAGCCCCTTCCTGAGGGTAAGTGGGCATTTGGGAGGAGATGCTTAAATCCCCCCTTTCCCTCAAGAACTATCCATGTATTTAGGTAAAGGTAAAGGTTTCCCTTGCTCGAAAGCCAGTCGAATCCGACTCTAGGGATGCAGTGCTCATCTCCGTTTCCAAACTGAAGGAGCCAACGCTGTCCAAAGACGTTTCCGTGGTCATGTGGCCGGCATGCCTAGACACTGAAGTGCACAGAATGCTGTTACCTGCCCACTGAAGTGGTACCTATTTATCTACTTGCAATTTCTTGCTTTCGAAATCCAGGTATTCACTTCTCCCCAAAACAGGGTTGCCAGATTTCCCCCCCCCCCTCACCAACAGCGGGGAATGGGGGGGTAGGGTTGCCAGATCCAGGTTGGGAAACTCCTGGAGATTAGGGGATGGAGCCTGGGGAGGACAGGAACCTCAGAGGAGCACAATGCCACAGAGTCCACCCTCCAAAGCATCCATTTCTCCAGGGGAATGGATCTCTCTAGTCTGGAGATGGGCCGTAACTTTGGGGGATCCCCAGGTCCCACCTCAAGGCCAGCATCCCTACCCCGGAAGCATAATGCTCACACCGTCTCCACTTCCTACCACATTTACTCAAGATGCCCATGAATGTAAAATGACCCTTTTAAAAAAGTTATACACACACACATGCACAAATATTATTAGATAGAACTGTGACTTGTACATGAATGTAAGACAACACCCTCCTTTCTAGATCCAGTCAAGCCTGAGGTCTCCCTAGGAGCTAAAATGACTCAATTGAGGCTACTGTACTTTGGTCACATTGTGAGAAGACAAGAGTCACTGGAAGAGTCTGGCTTGTGAAAACTTATCGAGGCAGAGAGCCAGTGTGGGTGTAAGAGTGATGGACTCTACTCTGGAGAACTGGGCTCGATCCTGCACTCCTCAACATGAAGCCAGCTGGGTCAGTCACAGCTCTCTCAGAACTCTCCCAATGCTAAAGTAAGTCTAGCTTGCCACTAAAAGAGCTGGAACTTAAGCCTGCCAAACCATCTTAGGATCTCCTGGCTATACAACACACAATGCCATCCAATAATTAATTAATTAATGTCAAGGCAAGTCTGTTAACCGCTAGGGTTCTAACCCATGAATGTAAAATGACCCTTTTAAAAAAGTTATACACACACACATGCACAAATATTATTAGATAGAACTGTGACTTGTACATGAATGTAAGACAACACCCTCCTTTCTAGATCCAGTCAAGCCTGAGGTCTCCCTAGGAGCTAAAATGACTCAATTGAGGCTACTGTACTTTGGTCACATTGTGAGAAGACAAGAGTCACTGGAAGAGTCTGGCTTGTGAAAACTTATCGAGGCAGAGAGCCAGTGTGGGTGTAAGAGTGATGGACTCTACTCTGGAGAACTGGGCTCGATCCTGCACTCCTCAACATGAAGCCAGCTGGGTCAGTCACAGCTCTCTCAGAACTCTCCCAATGCTAAAGTAAGTCTAGCTTGCCACTAAAAGAGCTGGAACTTAAGCCTGCCAAACCATCTTAGGATCTCCTGGCTATACAACACACAATGCCATCCAATAATTAATTAATTAATGTCAAGGCAAGTCTGTTAACCGCTAGGGTTCTACAGGACTCTTTGTTGACATGAATCTTCATCCTTCTTCACCGTGGCCTTCCGCAATGCCTCCCTCCCTCCAAGCACCCTCTCCCCAATCGTGTTATATCTGCTGAGTCAAGAGCCAGATTAGAGTCCAGGAACACCTTAGAGAATGACAAGATTTTGGGGGAATCACATTTCGAGAGTCAGAGTCAACGTTCTCTTTGTCAGATAAGCTTTTGTCAGCTTTGACTCTCAAAACTTTATTCCCCCAAAAACTTGTTGGTCTCTAAGGTGCATTTTTTTCTTTTTTTGCCGTCAAGACACAGCCGACGAATGGCCACCCCCCCATAGAGCTTTCAAGGCAGGAGATATTCAGACGTGGTCTGCTATTGCTTGCCTCTCCACAGTGACCCTGGTATTCCTTGGCGTTCTCCCGTCCAAATACTAATTAGGACCAATGTTCCCTCTAAGCTGTGGAGCCTAGTGAGCAAAAGTTCTACTTTGTGAGCTACTGGCATCAAAGTTGTGAGCGAACGATTTGGCTGCTGCATCAGTTAGTTTGCTCTGGAGCCCTCCTTCCTGAGCTATGACAAAACTGTGTGAGCCAGAGGCTAAAAAACTGTGAGCTAGCTCACACTAACTCAGCTTAGAGGGAACATTGATTTAGGACCAACCCTGCTTAACTTCCCAAGATCTGATGAGATCAGGACAGCCTGGGCTCTCTGGGTCAGGGCCCCCATGATGCTACTGAACTCAAATCTAGCTCTTCTACTGCAGACCAACTTGCTGTCTCTTCCACCAACGTTTGTGCCTAAAGTGCCTTACAAAGCTTTAGAGGAGCTTAAGACAAAATTAATCACAGATACTGAGGTAGGCTAGGAATCTGGGGCTACAAGCCTGAACGGATACTCTCTCTCTCTCTCTGAAAGGGCGGCCAGGGACGGGAGTGGCCGGACAACACAAAGTTATCCAACTCCTCCCTCCAGGGCCCGCCAATAGCCCTGCTGCCGCCGCGTAAATCTCTCTAAGGACAGTTCAGATTACTGCCCGGTACTGAGTCAGCTTGGAAAAGGGGACAATTAAATAACCCTACTGCCCGCTGTCACCTCTCTAAGGAGCACAGCAGGTGGCAGCTGCCAGTCATGAGATCGGTGGGAGTCTAGTGAATGATGCTGTAAGAGGATGAGTTATTGCAAACCGCGCACAGAATGTACTTTTGATATTTTGTGATGGGGACAGAGCTGGAGAGAGAGAACCGAGAGTACTGCTGGTGATGCTGCGGCTGTGGGATAGGCTTTCGAAAGGGAGGTCTTCGAAGCAGCAGCAGCATCAGAATTTAGGCAGTAAGCGGGCGGGGAAGCAGCAATAGAATTTAGGGAGGAGGGGGGGGGGGGGGGGGGAGAAACCGCTTCTGACTTTGAATACCGCATCTTTCTACTGCTTTAATATTTGTAGTGACGGCCTTTTATCCGTGCTGATTTATCACTGCAGTTTTTAATCTCACGGTTTACAGGTTGCTTTGGATGCATCTCCTTTATAGAAAGGAAGCTGCGAAATTCCCTAAGACGGCCCAGGCTGGCCTAAACTCCGTAGAGCTTGGAGGCTACGTAGGGCTGGCACTGGTTAGCGTTTGGACGGGAGACCACCAAGGAAATCCAGAGTTCTAATACAGAGTCAGGCAATGGCAAACCACCTCTTGTCAGCTGTGACTCACTGGCATTGTACACAGACACACGGAACAACATGCAGTTTTCGAGAGGCCTTCCTTCAAACGATGCATCACAATCTGTTTTGTCCCTCAAAAAGTTGCAGGGGCGAGTGCGTTAAGATGCGGGGGGTTCTACCTGTCATGCAGACCAAGGTCCTGGACACTCACCCCCACCATTCACTCCAGTTCCAGAAGGGGATCAGACTGCAGCAGCGAAACAAACAGGATGTCTCGGGGCACCATGAGGACAAATGGATTAATGTGGCAAAACCTTTCACCAGCTAGCGCCCACATCTTCAAATGCATGATTTCATTGTGATGCGCCAGTCTTCGAGGGAGATATCGCACACTGGATTTCATACATTTCCTCTACTTTTCCCCCTTAAAAGAAACTATTGGCATTAACAACTAGAAGTACTGGGTTGGACCCTAACTACCGCCTACTACTACTACTACTATCGAAGATCTTTACTGCATTCTCCTCCAAGATTTGTTCCTTCTGACCCTTGGAAAATAAATCTCCAGTTTCATGAGATCCACATGGATCAATAGCCACATAGGGTAAACTTGGGGATGCCCCCCCCCCGGAAATTACACTGTCCTTGTGGGAGAGGTTGTGGCTCAGTGGCAGAGCCTCTGCTTGGTATGCAGAAGGTCCCAGGTTCGATCCCCGGCATCTCCAGTTATAGGACCAGGCAGGAGGTGACGGGAAAAACCTCAGCCTGTGACCCTGGAGAGCTGCTGCCAGTCTGAGTAGACAATACTGACCTTGATGGACCAAGGGGTACAATGAATCTCAAAATCTACCTTCTGGGGGGGCCAGGATGAACTGCAGGAGTAGAGAGAAGGGAGCTGAGATCCATGGCTCCTTCTGTCAATGGTAGCTAGGATCCAGTCCACAGAACTAACCTTTGAACTTGTGTATCAAATCTCATTCTGAAATCTTAACGTTCAAGGGAGGTTTTGTGTTAAACATACTTATAGACGGAATGGCAAATAAGCAAAGTGAACCAGTGACGACCTTTTGCTCGGCTTGTAAATACATGAAAGAGAAAGGAGAGTTTCCAAGACAGTTTCAGACTGGGAAACTCTCCAGGGACATGATTTTGTTACCAATGAAATTCTATTATAGCAACAGAGTGTAATGGAAAATTTTGAAGAACGTGAAAAATAGAAATACACGAGCAGAGGACTTGCGAGACACGTAGGGGGGGTGTCCCATTGTCCCTGTCCCCATGCTTTCACCGTCAGGGGTGAGAACGGCCCCCGTGCAAGCAGAAGGAGCACCCCCGCAAAATGGCAGCCATATCTTCCAACAAAGAAATGTTTTTGTTTATTTTTTTCCTTGGGGTGTGTGTGTGTGTGAAAACCTGGGGGCTGACCCAGGTTTGTACAAACATCTCCTTACTCTGCACCTGAATCCAGTGCGTGGATTTAACAATCCGCATAGCGATGGTCTGGTTCAGAATTAGATGTGATGCTTTCGAGAGACAAAACTGCACATTTCTCCACAGCACAATTTTTACCCGCTTTCTTCTTCCCCCTACAAGATTTGTAGACATAGCTCTGAATCCTCATGTGCCACCACTTCAGACAAACAGAAGGGAGCATCTCTAGCTTCTGTGGCACACGGGTGGGCAACTGAGTTAATGATTTACTTTACCTGGATTGGCGGCTCGATCATGATCCACGCAGGCAGCATCAAACTTGGGTTCAAAGGCTGAGTACCAACTCGGAAGTAGACACCACCGCAGCTATCGCAGGCCCAGATGTGCTGATTTCCACATGCCAAACTGATCAGTTTCACAGCACCTATTTAAAGAGGCAAGATATCCCGTAAGCCGCTCAAACTTTAATTTTGATTTATGCACACAGTTCGCTAGAATTAACCAGAGAAAGAGGATGATTCAGTTGCTGCACTCGTTTGTCTGCTGCACTGGCCACAATAGCAGAGAAGGGAAGCAAAGAAGGTTGGGAAGAAGAAAGAATGAGAAAGCAGAGAGACAGAGAGCAACTAGCAGTCCTGGGATCGATGCTCCCTCTAAGCGGTGAAGTCTTGTGAGCAAAAATTCTCCTTTGTGAGCTACTGGCATTAAAGTTGTGAGCGAGCGATTTGGCTACTGCATGAATTAGTTCGCTCTGGAGCCATCCTTCCTGAGCTGAGACAAAAATGTGTGAGCTGGAGGCTAAAAAAACTGTGAGCTAGCTCACACTAGCTCAGCTTAGAGGGGACACCGCCTGGGATCCAACAGAACGAAGGGCTGAACAGCATGGCAAAGTGAAGAGAGGGACAACCAAGACAGGGGACACAGTGAAGTGGGAAGAGCTGAGGTTGAGGCAGAAGAACCAGAACAAGGAAGTGTTAATAAATTCCGGGGGAGAACGTGAGGGATGCCAAAGTCAAGACTACAGAGGTCTAGCCATTAAGAGACAGAAGTTCAGCATTTAGGGCAACAGAGATCAAGGTCTAGGAGGGAAAAATCATCCTTTCTGTGTGTGGGTACTAGAGGACCCACCGCAGAACTCCAAGGTGGGGGAGGACATTGGCTTGTACACTATGACGCTATTCTGTCGGCACACCTGCAGCTCCTCCAACACAACGACTTTTCCATCTGCAGTGCGGTTGCAGGCCCCCAGTCTGTCCCCACACTATCCCTTCGGGTCTGCTGACCGAAAGGAGCACAATTTAAGAAGGAAAACAAGCCCACGGGGAGAGGAGGAATTACTCTTTTCCGCTAGTAGAACTCCGCTTACACTGCTTAGGATCCAAGCCAAACTATCCCAAGTAGCTTAAACAAGTGTAAGGCATGTCCACATCACAGAGACAATCTGCTCCTAAATAGTATATGCTGTTGGCTGTGGCAAATCACGGTGTAATGATCGGCAACAGTTCTCTGCTAGGATAAACCCTCCTTCTGGATCTGAAGAAAGCTAGACGCATCCATTGATATACGAGGGCCATTGTTTGGACTGCACTCTGCCACCAGCAACTCCCAGTAGGTGCACAGCCCTCTTCCATTTACAAACTCCTCCCTTTGGCTTCAATAGAAGAGGACAAGAGAGAAGAAGAGATTGGATTTATACCGCACCCTTCATTACCCGAAGGAGTCTCAGAGCGGCTTACAATCTCCTTTCCCTTCCCCTCCCCACAACAGACACCCCGTGAGGTAGGTGGGGCTGAGAGAGCTCTTTCGAGAACTGCTCATGAGAGAACAGCTCTGACAAAACTCGTGACTGACCCAAGGTCCCACCAGCAGCTGCATGTGGAGGAGTGCGGACTCAAACCCAGTTCTCCCAGATTAGAGTCCGTACTCATAACCACTACACCGAACTGGCTTTCAACAGCCACGGCAACTCCGTGCAAACAGAAGAACTCTCACACAGATTCTCCCACTTGACAGAAACAAACAGGCAGATTTATTGTGGATATTCCGTGTAGGTGCAGGAGATCATGACTTTCAGTTCTGCCTCCACAGGTTCACACGCTGATGTGACATTTGCATAGGGCCCATGGATACAAGACCCAACAAACATGGACCTGATTGGCATCTCTCATAGTTATTTATTAAGAACTAAGTCTGAGTCCAGTGGCACCTTTAAGACCAACAAAGTTTTATCCAAGGTATGAGCTTCCGTGTGCAAGGCACACTTCTTCAGAGACCGTATCCGAGGAGGTGTGCTTGCACATGAAAACTTATACCCAGAATTAAACTTAAAGGGGCCACTGGCTTCAAAGTTTGTTCTGCTGCTTCAGACCAGTTATTTATTTAAACATTTATATCCCAACTTTCCTTGTGGATTAAGGCAGCCTGCAATTGAAGAAAGGCCTGCATGATTTGGACCAGTGTCGGGTGGGTTTTACACACACAGGTCCTCCACAAATGAAAGAGCCATGCCCAAAGGCAGGACATGCTTTTATTTCAGGTGTGATCTTGCTCCCCCCCCCCCCAACACAAGCAGGGTTGGATCCAGACTAACATTTCCACAGATGCAAGGATTTCCTCTCACAGGGCAGGCTTGTCCTGCCTCCCCACCTCCCCACAGCAGTCTGAAATACCCACCCACCCCCAACTTTGTTCCTAGGGTTCAGAACAGAATGGGGGGAGCATTTCAGGCTGCTGGAAGAGGAGGGAGGTAGAAAAATCAACCTCTGTAGGTGCAAGTCCTTGCATCAGTGGAAATTTTAGCCCGGATCCAAGGGGTAGTAGCCCTGCATTCAGAGGGAAGATCATTTGAACCAAACCATTTGCACAAGATGACCACACATACCCTCCGCGTGTGAACAGAATGTTGTAATATAGACCGTAGCCCATGATACGAAATAAACATTACGATAAACAAAGGAAAGTCCAAATGATAGAGTTGGAAGGGACCTCCAGGGTCATCTAGTCCACAATGCAGGGAATTCACAACTACCTCCCCACACCCCTGGTGACCCCTGCTCCATGCCCAGAAAACCTCCAGGATCCCCAGCCCAACTGGCCTGGAGAAAACTACTTCCTGATCCCAAAGTGGTGATTGGCATTTCCCTGGGTATATAAGAAAGGGCCACAAGAACTAAGCTCTGAGGCAGCCCTTCCTGCCCTCCCTTCTTGTGTTCCACCTAAGTTCACCGAATCAGGATTGCTGTCAGAGGGCCACCTAGCCTCTGCTTAAAAACCGCCAAAGGAGGGGAGCCCACCACCTCCCGAGGAAGCCTGTCCCACCCAAGAACTGCTCTAACTGTCAGGATATTCTTCCTAATGTTTAGCTGAAGACTCTTTTGATTTAATTTCAACCCGTTGGTTCTGGTCTGACCTTTATATCTCAAATTGTTGGTTTCTTTTTAAAAAACAACAACAGGCCTTCTTTGTATTCACACATCTTAGGATGAAAGACACAATATCTTCCACAGCCGGGACACATTATTTTCAAGGAGAAATAAAGCTGCCAGACAGCATAACTGAACAGCAGGTCTGTGTATAACTAGAGATGCAAGTTTTTCACATGACCTCCAGCGAACTCTGTTCTGGGCGCTGACTACGCTTGCTGATGAGGTCTATAAATACATGTGAGTGCTTAACATTCCCAATGTAACAAGCAAACATGAGTTGCCGGATGGGCGTACGGGATAACGTTTCGAGATTAGCTTGCTTTCGTCATTGATGTACAATGCAAACAGGGAGCCCTTTTCCAAAGGGGCTGCGTAACATCAATATGATATTTTTACTTCCAGATGAACAACGGCCTCGAAACTTTGCTGCTCTCCTTAGGACTGAAATAGAAAGCGCAAAGCTGCGAAATCTCTCTCTCTCTCAAGCCTTTGGTCAATCATCCAACGGGATGCATACCCCTGGAAATTCAAACTACGTTGTTTACACGGATGAAGGTCTGAAAGAAGGCACAGAGAGTCATAGACAGAAATGATGTGTTCGCTAGTTTTGAGCCCTTCCATATCCTTCACGACATGTACCTGGAAAACACACAAGTAGCACAGATAATGGCATGTACAGAATGCTGATCAGACGCCAAACTGGAAAAAAAAAGAAGTCTGTGTGAATCTAACTGAGCAACAGACTGTTCTGTCCTGTGATCAGGAGAGTCTGTTACCGGATAATAGCACCGCCTTTGGGAAAGGGATGGCAACCCATGGGATGGAAAAATCCAGATGGTGTGATTTCAGGAACCCATAAAGAAGGCTGCTTTAGCAGAACCTTTTCAGACGTTACAGACATCGATGGGCAGCCTGGATTTGTGCGGATGCAGCTTCTACAATGCAAGCAGAAATGGTACCCCGTCCTAGGCAAGAGTGACAAAGTCGTAGAGTGTTGCATTTCTTCTCATTGAACACCTTCTTTTTTAATTTTTTTGGGTATTTTTAAGTGTGTGTGTGTGTGTGTGAGAGAGAGGAACATCTTCTTTTTTTTAAAAAAATTTTTTTTGGTATTTTTAAGTATGTGTGTGTGAGAGTGAGAGAGCGAGCGCATGTGTGCACCTGGAAGTCATGGCGACCTCTGGTGACTGACCCCCTACTGGGGGCCTGAAGGATATTCAGAAAGGTGGCTGAATAAAGCCTGCCCCCGCCTCCGGTATCTCAAGGAGGTCTCCCATCCAAGTACTTGACAGAGTCGACCCTGCTTAGCTTCTGAGACCTGACGAGATGGGGCTTGCCTGGGCTATCCAGGTCGGGGCTCGTTGAATGGCTTCTTAATGCAGGGCACCCTGGGTGGGATTCCAAGGGCTGCCTCAAAGAGAACTGAACACTACATCGGAGTCACACAGCGGCTCAAAGGAATCACTTGCCTGCGAATGCAGAAGGGCTGCAGATGGAATAGACTGCCTTCTTATATATAGGCACAGGGAGACCCTTACACCAGATTCTGTGCAGCAGAGAATAAGGGCAGCAAAATGGGGAACAGCCAGGGATCACTTTTCATGACATCTGACCGCGCTTCCTGATAAATATGAAGACGGCCAACCGTGTTGTTAACACTGTCTGTTAAGGAGTAAAGGCTTTCTGGCCATCCTATGAACCGGTCAGAGCTCTTCTGCAGATCCAGGCTACTGCAGAGGTTTCAGCGTGGAGGAGAAAAAAACCCCCAGGCTTCAAATCGCTGTTCAGTCACGATGCTTCCTGAACTGCCTTGGGGGCCAGTGATATTCCTTGCTTCCTAGAGCTGGTGCTCTTCAAGCGGTCACCTGTGCCATCCCAACACAGAGGTTCCCACGCCTGGGCCGGGGATGCTCTGGAGAGGTCAAGCCCAACAAGCTGCCACTGATGGCTTTCCCTCAGAAGAGAAGGCTCTGACTGGAAGAGTGGGACCAAGTGCCTTCTCCCCCCACAACTCCCTTAAAGAGACAGCTGCCGTGAGAATGGTCGGCAGGTTGCTGACTGCACGGATAGCCCCACACAGCACTGACAGAAGGTAGGGGGATATGGGCTGAGAGGCAGAAAGAAACCTGGACCGACTGCTGTGGTGGGGTGGAAGGTTGACGTAACCTGTCTCTGGAGAGGTCTCAAAGGGGATTAGGCATTTCAAACACACAAGGGTGGTTCCTGTCCCACTTTACTTTCCCTTTCAGGCAAGAAACCTGCAAATTCCACATTCAAAGAAACAGCACGGGCAAATGCTGTAAAATCTGTCCCGCGAACAGCTTGGATGCTCTGCGCTGAACTGAATGATGCCGCGTGTGACTGATACCGATGTGGGAGAATGCAGATACCATACAAGGCATTGAATGCACTGTGAAAAAAACCAATGTAGCTGGCACAAGTTAAATCACAACTCCATGCATACACTGCACAGGCATGGAGATTACACTGTTTCCATGATGCCTTCTCTTTTTGTTCTTGGAGAGAGCCGATTATCTCCAGATGGGCTAGAGGAGGCACAACACTGGTTCCCATCTTTAGGTCATTTGGAAGCAACATTTCATTGCCTGAGGAATTGAAATTCTAAAGCCAGTTTAAGCAGTAGAACCAACCCCTTGGAACATGGCATGGCATTGAGGCTGGTGGTAGACCTTCATCCTGCCCCTCCCAGACCACACAGTCATGACAGCCAAACTGAGCAGAATTACCAGTCTGTGTGGTATCTGAGGGTTGGATCTTGACTAGGTTTTCTGCTAGGTGGTGTAATTTCTGCCAATTTCCCTTCCTGCTGGAGACCCCCGATTTGTTCCTCATTTCTGAGGAGCCCTTGTACCCCATGAGTAGCCTTTCAGGGAGATGAGTGGGGTGTACCGGGAGGGGGAAGGTAGGAAAGTTCTGTCTGTCTAGATCCAACCCACTGCTACCCCGCTACACAGAGGCAGGCAATGGAAAACCACCTCCAAACGTCTCTGGCCTTGAAAACTCAATGCAGTTGCCACAAGTCGGCTGCAACTTGACAGCACTTTCCGCCACCCATTAAACGGCCAGGACACAAGGGGGAAAGTGGCAGCTGTTGCTTGGGAAGGGCTGTGTATATGTGGGTCACTGGTTACCCCAGACAGCTGTGTCATGAGGGCTGGACTTCGGGACAGTGCGATGAACACAATCCATGCTCCAAGACTTCAGAAGCTGGAGCAGTTCTAAGTCAGGTCTTCCTTATGGCCATCTACAGGCTGGATCAAGGCACGGTGATATGAAGGACTCTGCTGGACCTCATTCTCCTCCCTTTGTTTCATGCTACTTTTTTCTGAATTAAAAAAAAACCCTTTGTTTTCCCTGAGTCCCTGCATCTTACACTGCATCACTGCATCTTACACTGGCAATAAATTGTGATTTGGGGACGTCGAGGCCTACAGAAGCCAGCAAAGAACCAGATACTTTCTCAATGAGAGGAAGGGGTGCACTTCTGGGACTGTTTCCCAAACCATTACAACTGACATTTCCTGTACTCTCCCATCTGATGCCCATGACTTGTACCCAACTCTCTGATGGGGTAAACAGATCCAGAGACTGGAAATCTTGTTCCGTATTATGGACATGGACCGTGATACCAGAAAGCATACTTTCCTTCTGAACTGTGATGGAGAGCAAGCGTATGACGTCGTCACTACCCTCCCAGACAGCTGTACTAAACAAAGTAGTTTCCTCCAAACACCACCACTGATTCTGAAGTGTATACATGTGGATGTTCACCCTGCATCTAGCACAGCAGCATAAGCTTTGAAGCCCACAATGAACTGTGATGGAGAGCAAGCGTATGACGTCGTCACTACCCTCCCAGACAGCTGTACTAAACAAAGTAGTTTCCTCCAAACACCACCACTGATTCTGAAGTGTATACATGTGGATGTTCACCCTGCATCTAGCACAGCAGCATAAGCTTTGAAGCCCACATGCCAAGTTATCTCATGGAGTTTTCAGAAGACATGCATCCCATCAACATTTGGAATCCCTGAACGCAGCGCACAAGAAACCATACCTAGCTGAGAAAGGTCCAGTTTGGTCCAGTGCATCCCAGTCGGGCAAGTCGGTGAAAGCGTCCTTATGAAGACCTGTCCCAG